AAAACTAATGAAACTAAAATTAAGCGGCCACTATAAAGCCATGTTCGGCAACTCCTTTTCTTCCAGTGTCTAAGAACGATGGAGCAGGAGAAAACCTTAAGCCTAACGGCAGGGTGGACCACCATTATTCACCCGGCGGACCTACACTCCAGGTGTTGGAGTCTGCCGGTGTTCACGCGCGACCTATGACTATATCAGGGAGCGGAAGTGGCGGCGGCTCAGGCCAAATCCTAAGCTCTGATGCGGACAAAACTGGAAAGCAAAAACGACATCGCACCCGATTCACTCCTGCCCAACTTCAGGAACTCGAGCGGAGCTTCGCCAAGACACATTATCCAGATATTTTCATGAGGGAGGAGTTAGCCATGAGAATTGGACTTACAGAATCTCGCGTACAGGTACGTTTCTTAATATCGTTGTCGCTAAATCTGGGAAACTAAATAAGAAGACATGTTATTATTATATGCACTAGAGAATAAACTGGTGCTTTCCATAAAAAGAATACTTATGCTTATCATATGAATATATTTGAGAAGTATTACAAAAAGTAAAACTTTATGAAATGACAAATGTAGTTCCATGTATTGAAATTATTAATTGCAGAAATTAATACACAACATTTTTTTTACAAATACCCTATATTTCAGGGTGTTAATTATCTTTTACCAACTCTTCGTTGTGTCTCGATGTCTGTACAGTTTAAGCCTGTCCAGATTACCCTATCTTTCAGGGTGTTAATTATTCTATACCAACTCTTCGTTGTGTCTCGATGTCTGTACAGTTTAAGCCTTTCCAGATTACCCATACCAGGGCCCCCAGTAGCACAGCGGTATGTTCTAGGACTTACAACGCTAGAATTCGAGTTTTGATACCCATGATAAGCACAGCACAGATAGCCCATTGTGTAGCTTGGTGCTTAACTTAAAACAAACAAACCCATACCAAGTATTATCCATAAGCGAAAGGCCCGGCATGGCCAGGTGGTTAGGGCGCTCGACTCACAATCTGA